CCCCCCCCCCCCCCTTGTTTGTTGAGACATTCTTCGTAGAGCTTTTGGTTCAAATTGATATGAAAATCTTCGTCTGTGAAATGCACTTCCCAAACGGTTCCAATCACAAAATTTCTCTTAACCTGAGCGGTGAACTCGTAATTGAATATTAGACAATCTTCGTGATCACTTGCGTACAGGTGTGTTTTTACTTTAGAGGAAGTTCTCTAAGGTTTTGTGCAGGCTTTCCTAAAATAAAGGGTCCACTGATCTCTTCGAACTTAGAAATGAGTATCACATCGTCTTTTTAAAATATTTTCTGTTTTATTTGAAAGAAAAGGATTTCCACATGGATTGCTGCAAGCGGAAAACATAAGAAGTGCTCACTGCTCGTGAGTTGTACTCTCTAAACTGCTCGCTGCTTGCAAAGCACATTTTTTATCACGGCTTGTGCTTGCAAAAAAATCGCGGTGCTCGCATGCTCGCATGCTCTCCCAACGGCTCAAGTCAGTTTTACTCGCCAGAAGAAAGAAAGGAAAAACCATGCTTCCTGTGTACGTGCTTGTTGTCTGCTGTTTGACCCACATTATCAACAGCAAGATAATGGAAGACAAAGTGATCTATTGGTTGAGGACTGCTTCTTGCTGGTTATAAAACTGCGAAGAACTTAATTACTTTAATAATAAATTGCTGCCTTCTTGCAGATCTTTGAAGTTCAGCTCTTCTTTCCCTGCTACCAGCATTCTTTTGTGTTCTCTGCTGGATCCAATTCGTCCTGATAGAAATTATTCAAAGGGTGACGACAAATTGTTTTAATTTTTCTTAGACAAACATTGCATTGAAAGTTGGGAAGAGCCACTACATTTCTTATTAAATAGTTTTCCAGCCCAATTCCTTCAGCAACAACTTGAATAGACTTATGCTGGATTTTATGTAACTCGGCACGTGTCATTGCAACTTTCAAGGAAGATTCCTTCAATGGACGACTGCATTTGAACTTTTTTTATATTATTACTGAGCTGAGTTATAGGCATATATTTTCAAGTAAAATGCACATTAAAAAGATATTACAGTTTTGTGAACAGCAGTGGTGTGCATTTTTGTTTTAAAGTATATGAAAGTTATTTTTATGTTTAACCAATGAAATAACTTTAGAGGTATTACTATTGCATACTATTATTATTATTATTATTATTATATTATTATTATTATTATTATTATAACATGCAATTTAATTGAAATTATTATTAATGACAGGTTTTTCCTTAAAATGATAGATGCCAATAAACAGTCAAAAAGTGGACAAGGAAACATCAAGTACAGTCAGTACTAATAAATCAACAACAAACTATGTGCATTAGCAATGGCAGCTGCAGCAGCAACCGGACCAAGTTCAAGGTATTAAGATCACTCTGATTTCTTTCAACCTTCTTTTTTTTACCTGACAGTAGGTATTGTTTCAGCCAGATATCCCAAGAATGAATTAGTGAGATCCCTGAAACCCCATATGCTGTATGATTTTCCTCAGCATCAGAGCCAAGTATAAAATTAATATTATAAATATTATTAATATATAGATTTAGCCAAGGCCAAAAGCAAAGCTCTTGAAGGATGCTTTAGGAGATGTCTTCCTCATTCAATGAGAGCGGTTTTCACTTGACTGTCGTAAAACCAAAACCAAAGTAAATACACTAGCCAACCAAAGGGCGTAGTAAAACCAAAACCAAACCAATTCCTCAATTACTTTCGACAGTCAAGTGAAAACCGCTCTAATTATACTTAGGCGGTAAGCAGAGAGCAAACTGAATTATACCATTTTAAAAATTCACTTGGGCCCGCGACTGGTCAGCTGGTAACTTTTAAAAACTACATCATTTCCATGAGCTGTATACCTGAGCCCGCGATACCCTTTTTCGACAGCTGTCAATAATTGATCACAACAATATGGATGTCCAATATCAAGTTTTACACAGATATTATTTAAGTGTGCCATTTGCATCCGCTTTAACATGAAGGGGTGGATGTAGGTATGGACGATTTTCTCAGAACCAAAATTTCTTGGAAGCATAGATTACCATATTTTCTTACCCATGGTGCTCTGCTGTGCGTGCGAGAGCTCCACTATTAATAATAACTACTAGAAGTAATGTATCAAAACCAAGGCACATAATAGATCTGATATCAAATTAAGAAAGGTGCTTCACCTTTAGTGGACAAACTCTGAGGTGTCTGAAAATGGGATAGAACAGGCTCTCAAATGAAAAATAATAGAGCCCTTAAGCTTGCAGCTGGAAATCATGTGACCTTTCTTGTACTCAAATTATGGAATGCAATTTAAAATACACTGGATGGAAAGTGCTCTGACAAAAATAATTTGCTGGGTCTGCTTTATTTTTTAGGTTTACTAGCTATTAACAGTTTAATTTTTACATGGTGGGTTTGAATTATCATTTATGGAAAAATACAATGAATGGTCTATATTAATGGGAAAAGTTAAAACTGTACCATATGCCTTTTGGTGCAAAAAAATCAATTTTATCCCCATAATTTTTTAAAAGTTCAACACCATGGAAATTCTACTCTTATGTGTCAGTTGCATAAATAACAATGGGCCTTCTGGCTAATCTAATTTTTTCTTTTCTTTTGCATCATTAAACTAGTTACCTGTATAATTTTGTCTAAGGGAGGTCAACGTGACTTCAACCTGCAAAGGGCATGAGGCAAACTCTTTGTAAGCCTTGGTTTACAAAGAGTCTTTCAAAATCGGTTAGAAAAAACATCTGTTATACAAAAGCTTAAAAATTGCAACGATCCCAATCCTCATAATGAGTTAATATAAACTACAAGCACTTTAAAAACAAACTTAATCGTCTTCAATCAGGATTGCTAAGAGAAAAAATGATTGAAAACTTTTCTTCTTAGCTGATTCACCACTTGTAAATAATACTTGTTTTTTGCTGCTTTTTGTCTGTTTTGATTTGCTTGCTTTTCATCCCATGGGCATCCCAAGCATACTATGTGTGGATTGGGGCTTCAGTTGGTCGGAATATACTAGCATGATAAGTGTATTATCTGATGCCAAATAAATGCATAAATCTTAAAGATATGAAGTCTTCTTGTTTGCCTATCTGTACTAATAGCCTTTAAGATAACAAAAGTCAATATTTCTTACATTGTTACATGTGATTTAGGCCCTTATAGTGCGAATTTTATCACATGTATTCGAATCTACAACGCTTAAGAAGAATAAAAATCATGATCACACAAAATATTGGTTTATTATTTAAAGCTCCCTTACATTTAGTTCATAGCTGTTCTGTGTCCTCCAGCCAGTTTAAATGCTGTTTAGTTGACTTTCTTTCCATCGAGTACTGAAGACTATAAAAGAAGCCCAGGTGGTAGGGTCTTCCCCATAAGTCTTAAGAGGCTAATGGGGATGTGCCTCTGGATGGGGTCGCATTTTCACAACTGGATTTACTATTATGGGGTCATATTTTCAATAGAGTTACTAGAATGAAGTCGCACATTTTCTGGGTTTTGGGGTAAGAAAGTTCTTCATCCTTACAGTCAGCAAACGAACCAGAATGTTGGTACTGTTGGTGAAAAATAAAGTGTTTTTCATTCAATTCAAGAAAATGCGTCAATTCATTTTAGGATGACCTATTTAAATGATTGATTGGAATTGCGAAAATGACATATTTGCCCAAAAGTGACTAAGATGGGGTCTGTAATTGGCCACAGAATAGACTATAATGGGTAGGAGCTCTGGGAGGCCAGCAGCACATACCCAGCAAAAATTATCCCAAGTACCCCTCCCGGGGTACAGTATAGTGTTCAGTACTCAATGGAAAGAAAGTCGACTAAACAGATCCAGACCTTCAGATAAGGAGGGAGGGGTCATCCAGATCCTGAGATAAGGGGGGAGGGGTCATTTAGATCCTGAGATAAGGGAAGGGCCCTGTCTCCAAAAAAAATTTTTTTGGGCCCTTCAAGCCTCAGTTTGGTCTAAAAGTATTGGGGGGCAGCCCCTCCCCTAGATCCGGCACTGCTAATTATTATATTTCAGTATGATGTTGCTGCTTATTTCATTATATTTAGTCTTAGGTAAGCTCATATATGGGCTTTCAATTTCAGCTTCCTTGCCAGAAAAATACTTTTAATTCTCTTACTCAAAATGTATGTCTCCTTAATCTTTAACTAACATTTTTGTAATATATTGAATGTCTGTATGTATATGTTGTAGTTAATTTTTATTTTTCTATTGTTTTTGGGTAATGTATGTTAATGAATTTTAAACAAAGGAAAAACAAAAACTAACTGAAATAAAAAAATTAACTGCAACATACATATATATTTTGTTATGGCAAATAAATAAACTGAAATGGAAACGGCTTATTCTTGTAGAAAAAGCTCTTGCAATTACCTCCTTCAATTTGTGGTAATAACTTTCTTTGTTTTGAGAAACAACTTGCCTTAACATGTTTCTGATTTTTTTTTACTCTAGTACCAATGCTCTAGGGAACATTAATGACAGCAAGAAAAGATGGATGGTGTTTGGTCTTGCACTGAAGGACTTAGTGGACCAAATTCGCTCTTTTGTAGAAAAGGAAGTTCAAAAGGATTTTGACAATCTTAAAACCAGTCATGGCATTGATTCTCAGAGCTCATCTGGTCGACTGAAGAAATGGAGTTCCACCTTTCTGAAGTATGAAAACATCAATGGCAATGATGCTGTACCCAAGCTCCCACATGGGAAGTTTAATTACGCTGCATTTGACTGCCGTGTAATGTCACATGTGGACTATGCAAAGCTGTACTTAGAGAACTACATGGCCAAGTTCACAGTGTTTGATGAACACTGCGATGCTTCGGCTGTGCTGAACTTGCTAGGTAGAGTTCCAGTGTTTTCTCTTGCTGCGCAAGGTGCTGCACATGATGTTCGGCAAGATAGAAATGCGTGGGCTCACTGTGCATTCCAAGACTGGGATCCTGCAAAGTTTCAGCAGTATTTTCAAGACATGAAAAGGTTGGTGAATGCTCTGGGTCTACCAGCTGCAGATGAAACAAAACTCTTAGCAGATCTCAACACCTGGGAGAAAACAGGTACTAACAGACATAATCGGCATAAAAGTCTGCAATATCCATGGGAACATCCCTACTTGGCTTCATCCCCACTAGGCTTCATTGTGGTGGGAAAAGTTTTTAGGAAAGCTTTAAGGATCTTAGCTTTAGATGGAAGGAAGTGTAGGTGGGTAATGGAACAAGATTTCATGGGAATTTTTGTTTTTTTTGCCCCTTTCTCCGGTCTTCTCCACTGAATCATGCTCATTCTGCCCATCTTCTCCCCATACACAAGTCAGATGACAAAGTTTTCCTTGACCGTTAAAACTGATGACGTCACAAGTGATAGAAGGGGCGTGGATCCGCACGGGCGGTTTAGGGGCGAATGGATTAATCGGTCATTTGTTTTTGTTTGTTTGTTTTTTTGGCTAAGGTGATAAGACATCAGCTATTTTAAGCAAACGATATTATTATCTCGCTATCAAAGGCGCAAAATATTGTAACATAACAGTCACTGGAACATCAACTCTTTCCAAGCAAAACCCATACAGAAATTCTGAAGCAAAAAGTACAGCACATAATTACAAGTGACTTTTAACTCCTTTTATCTACACGTGTAAACCAAAATGTTCTGCCACTTTTCACTGTAATCAAATTGTTTGACAGGACATACTTAACTAATCCTTAGTAAACACATTGGGAACTTCAGCATCGGCGAAGGCGACGGCAGCAAAAATGTTACTTTAGTCACTCAGGTTTTGAAAAGGAAACGAAAACTCGCCGTCGTGTGTTTGCGACCTCCATAACACATCGAATAAGGAAAATTCACGTCGTGGTCGTACAGTGACGGCAAAGAAATGTACCAAAACGTGTGCTGCACGTGCAGAATTGTTGTTTTGCTAATCTGACGTTGTCGTTACCGTCGCCTTGGTCGTCGTCGTCGTCGTCGACTTTCGCGCCGGTACGAAAACCATACCCGATAGCGGCTTCTGTTGACACATAAGGACCGTGATTTCGGCGCTATTTCTGTAACGAAGCGAAGCTGCGCCGCGCCGATCTCTTGCTATTGTTTGTTGCAATGTGAACACCTGTTCGGCCCGTAGTAGAAATACATAAATGGGAGCTAGGCCTGGAACCCACTGAGACGGAAGTAAATATTCAGGAGGAAGGACTTGGAATTTAGTGCATCAAACCGTCTCGGCCAACCGCCCCGACACAGTATTCGATGTGTGTGAACGACTTGTGCCGCCCCGGGTCGTTGCTGTTCACACTGTATAGGATAGCTTTTCGTGGCGATAGGAAAAGTTCTCCAGTATACTGTGAACACAGCCTAAATCTGCAGTTTGAGTTAAAATAAAGGTTCTCAATGAAAACAATGGTAGACATTACGTGCAGTATAATTCAGTGTTGACATAGTAATGAATCGTAATGTAGTTAAAATTCTACTTTTTCTTGTTTGCCAAGGACCGTCGCTTTGTATGAATCCTTCTGTGGACGCAACATTGTTACAGATGGTACAACAGCATGTTCATAAGCTGATAGCTGATGTCGACAATATGGCGTTTGAAGTGGATTGTGACAGGGAAACAGTAGAGATTGCACTTCAAGATGTTGCTGCTGATGTGAAGGAACTGGAAAAACGCATCTCAGTTGTTGAGAAGGAAAATAAAGGATTAAAACGCAGCATGGAAAGCTTTCAAGACGAACAGAGAGCTATGGGAGAAAAGTTCAAGTCACTAAAGTCAGACCATGATTTTGTACAGCAACGAGTAACACAAGTGGAAGAGCAACTTAGATCTCCTCGTCCTCAAGTCAGCTTTGGTAAATAGAATTATTCTTATTATCTTTCAAACTTTTATTTCTGTCTATTTTTGTTTAATCCAGGCCAGTAATGTTTGATTGGCTGATATTGGAAAACGTACCCAAAATACAAAAGGTGATAAATGCAAACCTACATTTAAAGCTTAAAAATTCTTGATAATAACCGAAATTAATATTCGAAATAAATCCCACTTTTGAGCAAAACATGACGCGGTCTGCCCATTAAATGACTAAAAGAAGTAAAATTATCCAAAGCTTCAACGTTTACTCAATTTTGTGCAAACGTTATAGAAAACTCAGTTTCGATGGACAACAATGAATTTACGCGATTCTATAGAACACTGATCAATTGTAGCTCTGAAAATTCTAATGGAAGTAAATCTATGTACGAATTTTTATATATCTAGCCGATTTTTTGAAAACCAACCTATCGAACTGTGCAGTCATTTGAGTTAAAAGGCGTCAAAAGGCAGGTTTTTTGGGTTCGATAAGCTGCAAATTACACTAACGATGGAAAAACGGAAGCTAAGAAGGGAGACTAAGAAAGAGCGAGGAGGAAGAAGGGAGGAAAAGAGAAAAAGCAATTGTTGCACTCTTAGTTTTTATAATAGCTACTTTAAAAACTGTTGGACACAAAAAGGTCCATTTGGCGATAACGTTTTCAAACATCCGGCTAGATATACATTTCTGTTGTACGAAATCGCACATGTGTAGCTGTCTCGAGCGGTTTGGTGTACGTGATGTTAAAGAGACATTTTTGAAACGAATTAGTTGTAAAATATTTGCAGAAATATCCAGTAAATAGCTTACCTTTACTGATTCCTCACATATAGATTTTTGTGAAACTTCGCTGAGCAGAAGACAGGCACCAAAGTATACGTAGCCTAGAACATTTTCAGAGGAAATACGACTTAGGGCTGAAATTCAAAGAGGAGCAAAAACAATTGTGACGTCATTGTCACCTGATATTCATTCGGATCGCCAAAAAGATATCATAATAAAGTTCAATCTCTGTGTAATTCATGTGTTATAACGGATTTACAGTAAAGACCAAGCTGTTAACGCAGAACTGTTCCTTTTGCTTGTTCCTAAGAAAAGTTGGAAGTCTAATAGAAAAGTTTTTTACTCAAGTAAGGAAATGCGGATCACTGAAATGTAATTCAGCTTTCTTCGTTTAAGCACTTTGTTTTTCTTCCTTTTTTCCCCGTAGAAATTTCCCATTTTGAAGCCGATATCGCTTTTTTAGCCGAGCGACACGATCCAGACACGAGAGGGTGGCTATTTGCAGATATTAACAGTTGGTTCCGTGCTCCTGGTGACTCCAGAGCTTATGTTCTCCTGGGTGATGCGGGAGTTGGCAAAAGTGTAATAGCAGGAGCCCTGGCAAAGCGGGCACAGGATGATGGGTACTTAGGCGCTGCCTACTTTTGTCGCCACAATGACGAGACAAGAAATGATCCCAGAAATCTTCTAGGTACTATAGCTTGTCAACTTTGTAAATGTAGTGTTGAATACAGTAATATAGTGGGAGGGGAGGGTGGTGTAAGAATGACATTAGCCAATAGTAATTTAAGTATCGGTGGGTTGTTTACGAAACTGTTACAAGAACCTTTAGGTAAGTGCATGCCTTGTGAACAAAGAAAATTAGTCATTATTGACGCTCTAGATGAGACAGAGTACAAATCCAGGGACGATTTTCTTGATCTGATTACGCACCGTTTTCCCCGGCTTCCAAAGTGGCTTTTGTTTTTTATCACCAGTCGCCCTGAAGATACCGTGCAGTTCACTCTGAAAAATTATAACCCTTGCGTTAAAATATGCGCTGGATACGGCAAACATCTTAATGTTTATCAGCAGCACGAGCAGGACATAAAGCAATTTTTCGAGAAAAGAGTCGATTTTTCCTGTCTCCCATGCACAGTTGAAATCGTAACAAAGAAGTGCAATGGGTTGTTCTTGTACGCGTTCTACATGGTAGAAGTGTTAAATAATTTAGCATGTTCAGGTAACATTGGTGAACTGACTGAACTTTTTCCAGGGGATATTGATGATTTTTTTTATGTCAATTTCAAGCGGATTTTTGATAAAGTGGGAGCAGATCTCTTCAGAACTTTGTTCGGTTGTGTTGCAGCTTCTCCTTCTCCTCTTCCGCGGTCATTTATTTCATTCCTTCTAAAGACAGAAAAATCAAACCTGAACGAACAAGAAGTTATTGACACTGTTTCAATATTTTTGGTACATCGAGCGTCTGATCTGACCTTCACCTTTCTTCACAACTTAATCCCATCCTGGCTGACCGACAGGAACAAAGCTCGGCGATTTTTTGTCGATATTACAGTGGCACGGAAGTACTTGAAGAAAATCGTGTTGGAATTTCTTCCTTCCAGTGTGATCAACGTTTCATCAGAAAAATATTCGTCAATTGAAATAGATTTACTGGACTACGTCTTGCATTTCGGAGTTCGTCTTTTGTGTAAGTGCGATGACATAGATTCGATGAAGATCGCTCACAACTTCTTGACAAGCTACCAGTTTATTCAGAAGAGAATACAGAAAAGCCGGATTGGCGTTTATTCTCTGATTGGTGATCTCAAGCTTTCTGCCGGTTGTCAGAATCTTTCTGACACTGAAAAGGAAACTCTGCAAGGAGTTTGCAGAGCACTAGAAAGAAGTATCCATACTCTTTGGGAATGTCCCTATCTTTTGCCTTCCTGTCTGCAAATGGTGTCCAAAGCTGTCAAATTAAACATAACAATTCCCGATGGAGTGTCCACCACTTGGATGGAGTGGAGTTGGCTTCCTTTCCCTGCTCCTAAAGCCCCTCATAACAAGGTCAGCAGGTGCTTGGCTTTTTCCCCTGATAGGAAGTTACTAGCCCAATTTCAAGAAGGGGGCATCTCGTTGTTCAATTCATGCTCCCTTGAAAGGTTGCTTGGCCCAGTCAAGTTAAACGCAATGTCAGACGTAAAATGTTTGGCATTTTCTTCCTGTGGTGATTTTGTCTTCTTTGGAAAATTTGACAAAGTGTTCTCAGTACAGCGAGGGATTATTGAAACATATGTCCCATTACAGAAAGTTCATCTTCAATGTGAATGGTGTTCATTTACCCTTGATCGACAACACATTGTGGTGAAATGTAGCAGTTTACCTACACCCACTTGCTGGTTGTGCCTTTTAAACCACCTTTGTTTGTGGGCCAAATTGGAAATTGAACGGAGCGGTAAAAGAGAACCCTTATGTCGCTGTTTTCCTAACAAGCTGGAAGTGACAAGAAAATTCCCCCAGTTAGCAACGTATCAAGGTTCGCGCATTACAGCAATGAGGCCATTGTTAAATCTCCTCAGCGAAATGAAGTGCGAAGAATGGTGTTCACTTTTAGAAAAGGTACAACTTGATAGAGGAGATTTGACTTTTCTGGTTCCAGATTGTCTCAGGTGTGAATTGTCAAGAGATTATGAGGCATTAACCTTGAAAGAAGTTCGTCAGTTTGTTATTGACCACTATTCTAACATATTCAAGTATCAAGTTTGGGATGCCCGAACGGGTAAACCTGTGCTCAATGTAGCCTTATCTTCCGGTGTTGAGGTATGCCCGTTTATTCACTTTTGTCACCTAGGCACTGCATTCGAGACATGTGGCACACTATTTACCGGTATTGATAAGGCTCTCTCACTCGCCAATATTGCTTTACTAAGCACTATTTGTCATCACCTTCTCTTCCGTGAAAATTTTCTGGAAAAGTATTTGTTTAGAAGCTTTCCACCCAGGCCAGCGATATTAAAATGGTATTACCCTCGTCCTGATGGAACAGTTAGCTTTATGGTGGATAGCCAAAACGTGAAACGTGTCATTAAAGAGATCAGATGCTATGCTGCCTTGGAGGAGGATGTAGTTGTTTATGTGACTCATGAGTCCCGTCTATGTGCTCTCTGTCTCCAGACAGGCACCACGACTGTTCTAGACAGCTCCGAACCAATTATGAAGGTATTGTACCGTGACGCGGTTCTGCATCTCTTTTTAACCAGCGATGACACTATTGAAGCGCGAGCCTTATCGAATTACTTAACCAGCGATGACACTATTGGAACGCCAGCCTCATCGACTTATACATTTACCGACTTATCCAACGGTGACACTTATGAAGCAATAGAAAAGGTGTCAGTCTTATCGACAGTTTCACCAATAATAGCGTCCGAACTGGAAAATTTCCCTGATGAAGGTAAAAAAGTGTTTTTCTCTGACAGTGTACCTTGCTTATCACCAGGAGTGATATGGGTGGCCAAACCGTTTGTTAAATATGCTAAGACTGTGGTCTACTTGTTTCGTGTAAGACATCCACATTATCAGCAGCAACGTTCCAACAACCCAGAATACGTCATCAAGGAGGTCGCTCAATTTGGTTTCACAAATGATCACTCATTTTTCGTGTATTTAAGTGTTCACACCTCACTTCACGCCCTGTCTCTACAATCGGGTACCATTCTGCAAAGCGTCTCAGGAGTTAGCCCGTTATTCTTCACTTCTGAAGGGCACGTAGGCTATCATTTTCAGGCCGATGACGAGGGTAAAACTCTGTTTTTGAAAGACTTCCCTTGTGATTTTTTGAAACGTTTTCTTATACCATCAGTGAAAATTCCAATGCAACCAAACTTCGTTTCAGAGGACACTTTCTTGGTTCTTTGCACTGATTCATCAGTTTTGTCATTTCAAGCAACTGGAGATTTATGTACCAAAACTATATTTGCTGAACATCCCTTGGACTCCGGTTTGCTTGGCCCTTGGCACGTACAGAAATGCGCATTTTCCTCGGATGGAAAGCTAATTGCTGCTCACCATGGTAAGATGATAACGTTGCACGATGCAATCGGATCAGACGATTGCAGTTTTCCGTGTTCAGTTTTTGAAGATGATCACGAGTTCAGTGTCCTTCAGCTTACATTCTCGGGTGACAGTGCCTTACTTCTTTATTGTATCAGGAATTGTCCTTTTGTCGTGTGGGACGTTAGGAAGAGAGAAACGTTAGCATCATTTGACCCACCTGGGCTTGTTTCTGAGGATTTTTGCTGCTTCTTTACAGTAGATAACAAAATAGTTTTTTCCACTGAGCTTCACATCGAGATCTGGGATCCTGCGAAGATTAAAAATAAAGCATCGACCAGACTGGATGTCGACGTGCTCTATAGTAAAGCTGACATAATCACCTACTGCACAGTGTCACGCAACAATGATCTATTGGCTTGTTGCGTTGTGGATAGAATCTTACTCTACTCTCTTAACAGTCCTACCAACCCGCAGTTCGTTTTAAAGCTACCTCGCGCCCATTTAGGTAAAATCGAATTTTGTCGGTTTTTAAATGGGAAGCGCTACATTATATCATATGGTATTGATGGTGCTGTGTTCTTGTGGGACGTACTTGAGCGGACAGCCATTTCTTTCATTAGAGTTCCAGTTGAGGGTGAAAACATTTCCTTCATGACTGTCTCCCCCAAGGAAGACAAAGTTGTTGGTTTTACTTCATTTGGAAGATTCTTCCAAATAACGCTGAATGGATTAAATGCTGAGATTTCGTCATTTCAATTGAAACCACAAGGAATGATGATGGGGCCTAATGCGTCAACCGTCACAGGAGCAGTTTGCTCTTATGTTGAACAGATCGCTGAGGAAACGGACACTTCAAAAGTACTGGAAGAGATGTCTTATATGTATTCTTCTGACCAAAGTGAAGACGGTGATGGAGGTGAATCGGAAAATTCCGAGACTGATCAATAAGGTTTAGCATCTGGTATTCATAAATGAAGTCGGATATTAAAAGCATCATACAGAAGAGCCACAGGCCGGTCACCGATGAGCTTTGAAATACGCAGACTAACCAGTCAGTTTTAAAATCGTAGTTGTTCTGTTCATCTCGTGGGGTAGAAAACGATGATCAAAGTCAATCGGAAGAGTGCCTCAGCTTTTTGGAAAAATCATGAATATGACTGTAAGCCAGAAACTTGACGATAAAGGCAATTGAGACTTCATTAATTAGGGCTCTTATATTGCAAGAAATGAGATTACAACAAGAAGTTCTTGCTCTCCGCATTCGTTTGTGAACAATAATTACTTATCGAAACGGTTTGGGTAACTGCAAATAACAGGTCATAATGTCGTGACTCTTTTACTGCAACGACGCGATTTTTAATGCTTATTGCAGTTTTTTTAAAAAAACTAGAACACTAGAATTATTATATAGTTTCAGAAATTGAGTAACAAGGTGAAAATCTAGCAACTTTAGTGTTAAGTGTGAACTGTCATACGTCGTCTGTTTTCTTCATTTTTTTTTTTTTGGTCATTTAACACCACTACACCGTCACGGTCATTTTCTGACTTTTTCAGCTACCGCAAATTTAAGGTTAAGACCGGATAAAAAACAAAAACATACACCATCTCCGCATAAAGACGGGTATTTCCAGATCTGTTGTCCCTGTACTTCTGTCTCCCACTCTCGTGATAATTTCGTTTCTTAAAAAATATTATAATAATTCAATCTCTGGTTTCCATTTTGGGCTTGAGAAAATAAAACATAAGTAAACGTAAGATTAGATAACCGAGAGTTGCCTTTATTGGTCAATTTATCTGTTTCAGTGTGCGTTAAAATTGCATCTGAGAAAGATAACCGGAAATTAGATAACGAGCTCATAGTTTGTTAGCTTAAAATTATGTCGAATTTTATTATAATAGTCTGACTTTGCTCATGGCCTTGTCAAAAAGTTAAAAATCGTAACCCAACAATCCGACAGTCCTAAAGTAGTTTCGAGATTTTGTAGAGATTTTAACGTTACTTTGTTTTTACGAAGTGCATCGGATTGGACAGTTTATTCTTAGGAGTTTTGTACCGGGTCATTACCGTCATAGGACCGTGTGAGCCCTATCGTTTTCTAAATGCTTTAGCTGGTCATTTCTCTAACGTTCTCTAACTGAACTGAAAAAGGGTCATTCGATAACGCGTTCGCGAAACGGCCTAGAACGTAAGCGCCCTAGATTAGTGAACTTACGCCACAGGACGGGAGAGGAAAGAAGGCGGCAAACCTTGTGTGACCAGCTTGACCCTGAATAATTTTATTTGAAGAAACTTCTCGCCAAAGTTTACCCTCCTTTGCGTCAACTCACTAATGATTGCCACAGACTATAACCCTTTCTCTCCCAGTGAGTGAGTGATGGAGTCTTGTAAGGTAGTTGTAACTTTTGAGTCAGTGGATGAAACCCTATGTTTTCAAATGAAACTAGCCTGAATGTCATCCGATTACTTCGAGTCGTTATTACTCCCTCAGTAACGTCTGAATCGACCGGCTGTTAATGCCGTCCAGTGACGTCACTACTCCTTGACCTTTGCTTTAATTCATGCAAAAAGTAAGACGCGATTTTCAAGTGGCAAACCGAGAAATCTCGTTTGAAGATGTCTGCACGATACAGAACTGCTTTATTTTTTCGATCGTAATTCATGTTTAACGTTCAAACTACCAACTGCATGCAATAAAACTCTGAACCGGTTGTATTTCTATAATCAAACTCGGTCGCAATCACGCAATGAAATAAACACACACACGAAACACTTAGTTCAAAAACACAATGATTTGCTTTAATTGAAAAGAAGCTATTTGGTCCTTAACGAAGAAAAAAAAAACAAGGAAACAAAAAAGAAAAGCTAACAGATCATTACACTTGACGGTGAAAATAGCAAGCAGGTCGAATTATAACATTGACCTCAAAAAAAATTCGCGTAAACAAAATCACCGGCCGCCGAAACCACAAAGCAGCTCTAAATGAAAAACCTACCGACTCTCCGTAATGATTCTTCATTCGCAGTCCAATTTAGCATTTCAGTTTCGAAGGCAAGGGCAATTTGCTGTTTAAGATAAAGATTAAGCTTATCGAAATGTTTGAACTACACGAAAGAATGCCAGGGATGCGATCCGCTGAATATCAAGCGACGATCCCGCTAAAATTTTTCATAATTATACATAATTATGCGAATGTTTAGACAATCAACCAATCAAAATCAGTACCCGGTTTTCGGGTAGTGAGTGACGTCACTGGACGGCATTAACGGCCGGTCGATTCAGACGTTGTTGAGAGGAGAAAACGACTCGAAGCAATCGGATGAATTTCAGGCTAAAATGAAACCTCTTCAGAAGTTATTTTACATGGTACTATTTATTGAGTATGTAGTTCTAGTAAATTGAAATCTGTGCATGAAATCCTCTTCAGTAGTACTTTCACATGGTACTTTTTATTTAGTATTTAAGCAATAGAAAACGTTTTCCGTGTTTGCATAGCCTGATATAATCACGAGAGGGGTTGGGAGAATTTGAGACAGTTATGCAAACTCGAGACGAAGTCGAGGGTTTGCATATATAACTGTCGAGAATTCTTCCAACTCCTCGAGTGTTTATATCAGGCTATGCAAACACAGGTAAAAAGTTTTCTATTGCTTTTATAAAATAACTCTCCCGAGAAAAAAACGCAAAACTCTTTGTATTGCACTGATTAAAGGAGAAATTGTTACCAGTCGCAAAGTCTTGTCCACGAAGTCTTGCACGCGTAATCAGTTCTTGTTTTGCAAAAAATAAAGATGCTTTCCAAAATACGGATTTTTCTCGCTTAAAATGTCAGCTTAAGCGAAGAAAAATTTGACACATCTTCTTTCTAACGATTTTCCAAGTTTCAGCCGGCGAAGGAACAGGTAAATAAAGTAAACTTGTCAGTCGAGTTCTGAACTCGAAAACTTTTTCAAATTCGTGCTTGCGTGATTAGCGCGCGAAAAGCAAAACATCTTCAGGGCACAACCATGTTTACAGACTCTCATGCAAACACTCCTCTCGGCCAATCATAGCGCGCGTACTATCTTAGTTATTTTATAAGTAGTTCTAGTAAATTGAAATCTGTGGGTGAAATCCTATGGTGTTACGATTTAAATAAACTACCTCTTCAGCAGTACTTTCACATGGTGCTATTTATTTAGTATGTAGTTCTAACTTTTGAGTCTGTGGATGAAATCCCATGGTGTTACCATTCAAATGAAACCTCTTCAGCAGTACTTTCACATGGTACTATTTATTTTAAGTATTTAGTTCTGGTAAATTTAAATCTCTGGATGACTCCTATGGTGTTACCATTTTAATGGAACCTCTTTGGCAGAACAGTCCGTACTTTTTGTGTTCATCATTTTACAAAAAGAAATTCTGAAATTTTGTTAATTGTTTTATTACTTTGGCTACATTTGGGAGTGAAAGGTTTCAAAGGGAACTTTGAAGTTTCATTTTTACGACAATTTGACCGAAATTCTGTTCAAAATAAAAGTGAATGCCAGCAAACAAAAATCGCCTATTTTTGCTATGAAATTTTCCGCGCGACATATTATTTTGTAATTGTTGAAATAATTTTGCTCCGGCCATTGATGCGTACAAAAACGTCGATTCTTGACAGTGGCTCGCTGGAAGAAAGCGAAAGTAGCTGATATTCTGGTAAATTTAACTCTATCGATCCCTTTCATAGAAAAATTAAAGAGTTGAAATTAAGCATTCATTTTTTAATTGTATTAGTTAACGTCAAATTTTTATTACAGTTGAGGTTTTCTTTAACCAAATAATGGTAAAAGCTTAAATTCCTTTTTCTTTCTACGTTTACAAAGGCTAACCGATATTAAAAGATTTCCAGCACTTAATTAACTTGTTAATTAATTGAATTCCAGAATTTGTACATATATCATATTAAGATTTACATTTTGTTAAAATAAAAAAAAGCTTAAAGCGACCGCTGTTGTGTAAACTATACTTTTTTTAATTTTGTTGTTGTGTCTTAACTCTCAATGTTTTTTGTTTTGCTTTTGTTTGTTTCTTGGTTTTTTAATCTAAAAATATAAATTTTCCTGACTCTATAGAGTTTTATAACCCGCGTAAAAAACGACTCCGGTACACTTTAGCCTTCTCCGCAGGCATCTTCCCATTACTTTAACCTTGAGGAGTCTGAGGACGAGAACGTTAGAAAGAAATCTGTGTCCCTTTCCATTCTCTCCCTAGTCTCCTTCGCAGCCGTTATTAGAGTAGTCACGCAACGCTCCTCCCCACTAAGTTGGGACGAGTGACGTTAGTGGGGAGGAGCATGGCGTGCCGACCCTAATAACGCCTGCCAGGAAACTATTCTCTCCCCATTCTCCCACTCGATCTCTAAAACAGGACTGTGATGCCTGCGGAGAAGGCTAGGTACACTTGAGTGTTTTTTGTTATTGTATCTCACTTTTGCAGTGTTGAGCTTCTTGTCCTGCAGTTTTATCTGTGGTTTGGTTCATTATTTAACGACGCGAAATTTTCCACAGATCTAACCATGTTTCAATTGATATCACATGCATTATAGCAGTTCAATGTGAAATTTCAGAGACCCCAATTGCCTCAAAGGGTTAGAGTCATTATCAGTAATGTGAATGGTTTGTCATATTGTCGAGGCCTTGAATCCATTAAAAGCCACTGTTTCATCCTCGCAGTTTACATCGTGATATTATAAGAGTGTCTGTGGATTAACTAGTTCTACCATTCTCAACGAACTTTGGCTCGATTTTCTCCAGTGAAAAAACTCTAGTGAGGACAATATTCTTACTGTCACAATCCAATCCAGTGTTAACAGTTGCATGCGATCCGCAAGACTCTAAGCCAAGATGGTGACTTAAGTCTACTTCCTTTCTCCTGCCAAAGACGGAAAAACAAGGACAAAAAACTCGGGAAAGTATTCTGGAGAAACCACGACGGTAGCTTTGATTAAAAGTAAAGTAAGTAAAAAAGTTTAAGGCACCGTTGCAATGGACAAGATATTGAGTAATGAAGCGAAAGTTCTTCGAAAGGCACGCTCTTCCGTCACTGAATATATCAATTGAGAGATATACAACAAACGGAGACATTGAGAGAAAGAACACGACAATGATTGCCAGTGACATCTTTAGAACATTGCGATTTCTCTTTTCTCGCTGACTGAAGTGGATTACTAAGTTTCTCACCCCATAGAATGATTGTCTTCTAAGCTTCTGGACTATCAGGCTATACAGAGTTGTTATCACCCCTAGAGGTATTATATATATTATTATTATCAATAGTAAGAAGACGATTTTTGTAACAGGGCGCGACCAAGCCACATAGCAGTAGGTTTCTCCACTGAATGTCGCTATTCTGAAACCGTACAGATATGGGACGTGAATTAGTGATGAAGTGAACCATATGAGTAAAATAACGTATTTTACTCTTGGTTTGATACGAATCGCTTTTAATGGAAACCACACGGCGTAAAAGCGTTCCACGGAAATGACGACCAAACTCTGAACTGATACTGCCGTCGAAATATCTTGAAAAAAAGCGGTGAGCTTGCAAAGCGCCTCCCCAAACGCGCCATCGATAAGCCATCGGAGATTTCCGTAGAATATCTCAACGTTTGCCCGAGGCATGGCGAAGATGGGAACCAAAAGATCGGAAACTGCCATGTTTACAATGAGTAGGTTCGTGGTCGTCTTCATTTTGTCGTCTCTGCAGACGACCATGATGATCAAGGTATTTCCAAGAAGAGAGAAGACGAGAAGAAGAGAGTAAGCTAGTGCTTTGCAGATTTTTGCCTCCATGGGATCTTCGGTGAGAATACATGACATTCCTTGCTCGTTCGTGTCAGTTGTATTGTTTGCCATTGCTGTTTCTCACAGACACAAAATGCGTTAAGGCCAGTTGCAAACCTGGATGAAGAAATAAGGGGGAAAAAAAGTGATATAACCTGCTTGTGGAAAGCACCCGAAACCGTTATCCGAGTTCACTTGGTTAAAGGGAGGGGAGGGGCTGGGGCGTTTGGAACCTCCAACCTTTTTGTTACTTACAGTAGTATTGTAGGTCTTTTCTTCTCCCCAGAGGTCTCTCTGGATCTCAGAGAGGTAGGGGAGAGGAAAATAAAGCGCCATAGCTGGGGCGGGTGCGAAGGGGGAGAAAGAAGGAAGAAGCCTTGAGGGTGCTGCCTTTTCCTTCGTCCCGCGCTTAGTACCCTATATTTTATAATAATTAGGTTTTTGGAATGCGTCCAGTTGGAGCCTCTGTGGAGAAGAGAGCAGTTAGATCACAGTTTTGTACTGTCGTACTGCGACGAAGTAACGCAAACACACAAAAGAGCACTGACTAATTCCTGGCAGTAAACGGTAAAGTTCAGTTGGGAGCAAGTGGTGTTTTAGTAGATAGTGCTTGGTTCCTGATTTTAGGAAACTGAAGAAATATTGATGTCCTAATTAATGAGGGATCCGGGGTCAATGCTTCTAAAAATGTAATTTATTCCATGAACTATGGTGGGGTCTTACACCCGTTTTCTGATGTACAGGAAAGATGACGGAAGCACTGACGGAAATGATTTACGTCGAGTCAATCATATGTGCAATTCTACACAGCCAGTACAAACTCTAGCATTTTCAAATATTGCTCAAACGTGACTCATGTTAGAGTACAGCAACAGAGTTTCTTTGTCTTTTCAGAGCTCATTTAAGACGTTAATAAGTTGCCATCGCAATTTGTTGACTCTCAATTATACGAGTAATCTCTTAATCTTAACAAGGCAAACCTAAACGGGGCCGACGACTGTACAGACATGCAGCTTCGGCATATTTTGACAATTTTCAACATCTATTTCGCCCTGTATTAAATAATAGCCATCTTTCATGGGAACATTTACCGTGCAAACTGAGAGGAATTATCTCCATTTTTATGACCATGTTGAATTAAGCTCTAGCACCGATACCTGTCGTAGATCCGTAAGTAAATTTGGCGGTCAAAAGCGAAGATTTATTGAAGATTGGGCGAGAACTGTTTGTAATTGGATGTATTTGTTAATAAATGCCTCTATGTTCTTGATTATGGAAGATTCTTCACATGCCTGAATTACATCCTGTGCGCAGTGAAATGACCACTGATAAAATGCCCGTTTTGTAATTTTGAGTGCAGTGCCGTTGCAGACAGACTACACTATTTTTTATAAGAATGTTTTTTTTTCTGCCTAGGCTGAATATTCTTATTTTTCTGCCGATTTAAGTTTGAAAATATTCTTGTATTATACTTAAATTTCCGTTCTAAAATGTATTGGGCTATCAAGTGTAATTAGTGCAGTCAATTTTTTTCGTCTTGTTGGCACGTTTTGCGTTAAGAGAATAGAAGAAGTTGAAAACATAATTGTATTTACAGTTTTTGAACACACAAAATTATATCCTTTTCAAAACCTCAGCCTGGGGTTTATTCTTAAAATAGTCTTAAACCTTCGCGAATGTTAGCCTCGTTATTCTTATAAAATTTATTCTTATGGAAAAAAAAAGAGTTTACTGGGGTATCACCTTTAAACTCAGGAGGAATCTATACTTTTTAAAACACCTTTATTCAAAATAAGCCATTCCCTTCTTAAGACCATGAATTTATATTGGTTCGTGACATTTCAGAGTCAGCACATTCAGTTTTACAAGTGGCCGACTGCGTTGAAGCCGAGCTGGACTACCATTTGAAGCCGAATTTATCAAACAGTTCACGTTTTCAAAAGAGTCCCCTCGTAATATACCACAACATGTTAGGCGTGATTCTTTTGTAACAGAAACGTTGTAAAAGTAACGTTTTTAGCCATTTTAGTGACGTTTCGATTCCGGCCATCGATTGTCAGCCCTTTGTAAGGCCTTCGACCTTTACGAGTTTATCTGTCAGTGAACGTTTAACCCAATACAAATCACCTACAATCACCTACAATCACCTACAAGCTCAAGTCTTCAATTTACCGCAATAAAAAGAACGCAAAAAAGGAAACGCATTTAGTTAAGCGAGAATATACAACAAAGAAAATACCTACCTCTTTTAGCTTTCGTCTACCTTTCCTTCTCGCGTGACGTCGAATGTTTCTTGTGGCGTAACACAGTTCTAAATGAGGGGAAGTAGATATTTTTGAAGCAGTAAATCAAATCAAATAATACGTGTTTGCCAGCACTAAGGAACTTTTCACGCGATGCGCAATCGGTTGATGTTAAAATAATGTGCACGTTTTAAGAGCAAAATGCGTCAAACATTTTGGAGCTAATTAGCATGTTAGCTAAAAAATTTCCATACATTGAACCACAAGGACAAATACCACTGACAGAATTGAGCAGCTTTTTTAAAAAAAGCAATTTACAGATTGTTTACTAGCTAATTGCTTCAAGTGTCAACGATTAAGCCGTGTTGTGTTAAACTGTCAAACACCAACAAACAATCCGATTCTTTTCAGAGTTTGCAGAGCGTTAATAGATCCAACTTTAATTAAGGCTGTTAAAATACTCCGAACTCGAAAAGAAAACGATATTCTGAAAGGCCTTGAACGTTGTCTGGGAAACCATTTCCTGATCAAGTTCACGATGTGTCAAGTTTACAGTAAAATTTCCGCGTTTTCCCGCAGTCATTTTCCCGCTTTTTGCGGCGGTCTTCCCAAAACAATGGAAATCAATCTAGTGAAAATCAATGACGTCAAAATTACAATTTTCGTTAATCTCTCTGTTCCAGAAACCAATTTCCGTTGATAAAATTGTAAATTATAAAACGGAGAGATAATTGCTGCCCTTGGTCGACTGAGTTACAATACATTTTGGGTAGCCATGGCAAGTTGGACGCAGAAATTGGCAAGTTTTGAAATTTGTCACCACCTATTTGCACACATGACTAAAAATGTCTTTTTTGGAGTAACGCAAAAATATGTAATATAAAGAGGAAATTCATTGAAACTTGTAAATGTTAAGAAAGACTTAAAGTCGACTAAACAGACCAAGTAAGTTCTGTGTGATAGCTAGTTTATCATTTCGCTCACGAGAAGTAATCTTATCATACATATACCCGGATGAACAACATCTTTTATGACATGGGTAGACAGGGGTTCGAAAGCTCCCAAGTCCGGTGCCTTATATTCAGGTAATAACCATGACTGATTTTTTTCACGAACAATGGTACAGAGGATACAAGTATCTCGCTAGACTTACCCACTATTCGAGCTGCGAATCAAAAGCCGCGCTAGATGCGTGAAAACGCGAGTGTGAAGCGCGAGAACTGAGTGCAAAGCTCAAAAATCGAGTGTGTAACGACAGACGGAGGAAATTTCTTAATCCGGGAAGGAGAAAGTCCCTAGGATCTTGGCTACTGCGAGAAATCATATCTCAGCTAATTTGAAGGCACTCTCTCTATATAATTCTACGTTGTATTTTCGCTGTAAAGATTTAGGATAAAAGTCCACTTTAGATACCATCTTCGCCCTCGTTAAAAGAGAAACTCATTTTTTGACTAAAATGAAATATGTATCTCATCACTCAGAGTCCAAAGATGCTATATAAATACACTTTCCCAGGCCACGCTAACAGAACTTCAACTACATTTTTCAGTTCCCTTGTCTTAAACTGGTCGTTACTTCTTACATAAAACCACAAACGCTTTATTTTTCTCTGAGCTATTACTGTATTCTAGTCTTGGATAACCAAAAGGCATTAAAAAACACCTTCCCGGCATTACTTTTTTGCCGAGGAAGCCAGGAAAGGATGGAACTCTGATAAAAATACATGAAGCATGAACAGGAGCATAGAGAGGTAATCATTGCTTTTGACTAAAATTTGAAACTTAAGTGCGTATTTGGATTTCTTTTCTTCTCACTTTCTCTTTCTAGCTGTTTTTACACCCGAGTCTCACGCTGTTTAAAGCTGCTTTACAAAGGAAAAGAAATACCAAACTCTGTGCAAATAATTCGCTTTCGGCTCCACTACATTCAAAGTTGAAGAAATTTAAGGACTTTTCAAGGACTCCCGCTAAAATTCAAGGATTTTTCAAGTCTGTGCGGGCCCTGTCACCGGTTTTTCTCTGAGACCATTGTACATCGCGCAAACACCTTCACAAGCTTTGAAAAAGCTCGAAGAATATACCTCCCGACTTTACACTTTTTTTCTTGATTGATAATCGTCTTTTATTTTATTTCTCTCCAGGAAATCATAAGCATATTTTACATATTTTGATAAGCATTTGTTTAAATTATAAACAAAGCTCGGTAAGAAGATTTTTGCTTCAATATTAGATACAAGATTTTAAAAATTCGTTAAATTACGTACTACACTACTGCGTTTTATAAAGTCTTGACGAATCTCCACACCGCAAGGAATAACGTCACACAAGACAGTAAACTTCTTGCAATGGCAAAAAAAAAGTAGTACAGATTTTTTTTCAGAATTTAAACGCAACATTGAACCTACTCGGTGAAAGGTTTTTAAGGTCCTATTTTGGTGAAAAAATCTGTCCCGGGTGGAGGGTCACCCGCCTACCTGAGGGTAACAGCCGGTTTCGCTACTTGTCGAGTTCGCACATGTTCGCACATGTTTTCCTATTGTCTCTCAAGGCGAGACAATATATAGGGAGTTTAAGCAACGACGTTTTTGAGCAACGCAAGTCACCTAGAAGTAGACAATTTTCCTTCTTGGGCAGTGGTTTCACCCAAATGTTTTGGCAAATCGTCTGCATATGAAAAAAGACAATTAGCAATACAAATTTGGTAGCGGCAAGGCATACTAGAAGGGAAAAAACCTCCCTTCCGGTTAACGTGCGTTGCTCAAAAACGTCTCTGCTTAAGAGCTTTTTAAGACAATCAAAGCATGCGCGAGCGTTGCTGGCTTGGGCAAAG